TAGACCTCTATAAATGCCCTTTGCCTCCCAGCTCTTTCCTCTATTTCCCTTGACTTTCCTTTTGTCCCACTATCATGCTCAGTCCCCACCAGGATTTCAGCAATTCCTCTTTGTTGCATTACCCTTGATCATGCCCTACCAGGCCTCCCACACTCACCTCACCACCAATTTGGATCAGTTGTTGGTCCCTTGTCCCTGGGTTTGTTAACACCACTTCCTTTCCCCCCACCTCCTCCTCTCCCATGTCTCCCCGGAACTGTCGGTCCCGTTGTTTTCTCCTCCAGATTGTTCATCCAGCCTATCTTATTTAGACAAACCTGTAGCAATAATAACACGCACAAAAACAAGACAGAGCAAAACCAAGCAACAATATACAACAAAACAGCAACAACAACAAACCACTGACAAAGAACAAATTAAAACACAACAAGAAAGAAAAGCTTGTAGTTAGTTCAAGGATCGTTGGCCTTTAGGAGTGTTTTCCAGTCTAGTCTGTTGGGGCATCATGCCCTGGCCCCAAAGTCTGCCTTCAGCATTCTATGGCAAGTCTTAAGGCATTTTTAAAGATCAGATATGTGTTCTTGAATTATGCATGTGGTAAAGTATGAAAATGGAGCCTTGGGTATTGTTCTAATAGTTAAATGCCTTGCACCCCAAACTTTCTCTATTGTCCTCACAATTCAAGCATCCCCACCCACGGCTCCTTGGCTAAATTGGTTGCTTCCTAAAATCAGTATTCTGGCATTTTTACATTGTTTTAATACTTTGTGACTATCCTAACAGTACAGTGTGTGCTACTAGAAAACAGCAGGTTGGCCTTAGCTATTCATCGCCATATCACCAGCTCCTCTGATGATGCTTGGTATATACCATGCCTTTATAACACATCTATGTAAGGAAGAGAGGAAGGCGGCGGGGAAAATGCATGCTTTCCACGGGGATAGTGCTAAATACAAGGGGTGGCTTCAAAAAGTTTGTGGGAATTTTCCATTATCCTTTCATTCCATTGTACCACAAACTTCTTTGAAGCCCCTTCATACATTAGGAGCTTGCTAACTTATCTTTTGTTTGCGGTGACAAGTCCGTTGCTGGGTCGTGTTAGTCCCTCCCACTTTACAGTTGGGGAAACTAGAACTTAGGAAGGTGGTCCTCTGCTCTTCACACGGTTATCGGCCCAGGAGGTGGCACAGTGAGGAGTTGAGGTAAGTAGGTCTAAAAGCCTTTTCTGTGGAGCTCTCATGTCTGCCGTTGTTAGCCATAAAGATTCTCTCATTTTGAAATTTCAGGAAACACCATGAAATAGAAACACTTCAAGCAGACTTCGGGAAGATTTTGCCTGCAGGAATCCAAGTGGTAAGCAAACTAGCCCTCTTTCAGAATCTGGGTTCCCTGGGGAGTTTCCTCTAAGCTGTTTCTGCCATCCACCGAGGCTACCCTCCTTCCACATCTTGCCCACTCTTTAGAGGCCCCTGATTTTTCCACTGGACTGAAGTGGTGGTAAAGATCTCTCCTGGGTTGATGAGTTGGGGTTGTATTAGGCCTGGTTGACTAGGGAACTAAACCAATGATACATATATATGTGTGTGTGTGTGTGTGTGTGTGTGTGTGTGTGTGTGTGTGTGTGTATATATATATATATATATATATGAGAGAGCTTTATATCAAGAAGCTTTATATATCAGGAAAACCCCCCGAGCCCAGTAAGTCCATAAGTCCAATGCTAGTCCATAAGTCCCTCTTCAGACTCACGCAGCCACATGCGATGATGCAGAATGCAGGGAGATCATTGGCTGGTGGGTGCAAAGTCCCATGGATCCAATGCCACAGTTCATCACAAGGCTCTGGGGGGCCTCCAAGTTCTCCCCAGCAGGAAGGTGAAGCAGAAAGAGGGAGGTTCCCAGGAGCCTCTTAAAAGGAGGTCATTCCCACAAGGAGGCACCATTAGGCTGTCATCTGATTGACAGGCTCGACTCCACCCTACACTTCAAGTTGACACGAGGTTATGTAACATACCGCAGGGAACTAGGACAGAGCACTGGCTGAACATGTTGGTATGTAAGAGCTTTTCAGCTTGTGATGGACTGGCTTCCACAAGGTAGCACAGATGATATTTTGAGAATAAACCCCTATCTGGATCAGAAAAACCTAATGTAGAGAAACTATTAGCAACACAGCTGGCCTTATCTGAGAACTGAGTAGCAGAAATATCAGATTTGGAGAATTCACCTCTGTCTCCAGACTCCCAACCACAATGGCATGACTAGCCTATCTGGTGGCATTTCACAGTTGACACTTTAGGTTGGGACATTGAATGGTGGCTGCCACTCCCTGCTCATAATCCTTGAATGGCACGTTTTAGCCCAAGGCCCCTAGGCTCTCTCGCGCTCTCTAGCCTTGTTGCCTGCCCTCCCCTTCCCCTCTGCTCCAGCCAGATGAAAGCACCTGCAGTTCCCTGGGGTTCTTCTCACTCTCTCTGATCGCTAACATTGGACACAGCGTTCTCTTCCTTCAGTTGCTCATCACTCTTCCTCCCTGCCACTCTCCAGGCTGTCTGACTCCTCCTTGGTCATCAGGCAGCTCCTACTGAATGCCTTACCTGACCACTCTCACATCTGGATCAGCTGCCCAGACCAAAGACTTCTGTATACAGTATGCCATCCTAGTGCTGCGGTTTTAAGTCCTTAGCTTTCTACACTGTGGTAACTGACTTTGGTCTCATCCATGCAAGTCTTTATGCTTATCTCAGGACTATGCTTATGCGATCGAGACCACCATCCACGTTTCGCAGCATTTCTGGAACTCCATCGATGAGTAGTGACGAGAGGCACATGCATGTGACCGAGAGCACAGGCTCTAGAACCTGACTCCCAGCTCTGCCGCGGAGTCGGGACAATTGTTAGCTCAGAGAGAACGAAGAGAAAGCTAGAAGCCGTGTGGTGTAGGGGATAAGAGTGTGGCTTTGAGTCAGACCACCTGGATTTGAATCCTGTTGCTACTTACTGTTTGTAAGACCTTGAGTAGGTGTCTGGTCTGAGTTTTCTCATCTGAGCAATGGGGATAAGTAAACATACCTATAAGAATGGTGTCTGACTTCTGACTTCACAAGACAGGAGGTGAAGAATCAGCATCAACACAGTTCTTGCAGGCCATACTCAGAATTGTGGGATTTATTCGGGAAATCACTAAGTTACAATTCAGGATAAAGAACCCTCGGTATACAGTTCTTCAGGTCAGAGCACCCCTTCCTGGTCATTGCGAGCAAGCCCAAGCCCTTGGTCTCACAGCCTATTTGGGCAAAGATTACAAACATCGTGTAGTTCTTTGCCTCTCAGCCCAGTAGCCCCTTGGGCAAATGTAGCGTTGTTAATTAGCACCCACTCTACCTGTAAGCCTCAGCTGGAAAGCACTCGCTGCAAGGGTCAGCAAACCTCTCCCCCAGTTATGCTTCCGGAGGCACCTCGCTTTGTCAGTAGTCTTCCTGCAGGGGGGCCTGTGCTTTCTCACTCTCTGGGCAGGGCCCCTGCCCTGCCGCATAGTCTTGGTTCTGCCACTGCTACACCTCGTATGTCACAGCTCTCTGTCTCGAAGGTTACCTCATGTTTGCATAGTCCTTTGTTAGGAACTGGAAACACTGACTAACCATATCAAGTAATTCACTACACCACAATACCTCATAGAATTGTTGTCAGTGTTGACATAACATGAAAAATGTATACATTATACATAGTATGTGGCAGAAAAACACTGAAATATTAGTTATTACTAGGTGCCCAATTCCCATTTGAGTAAATGAATGGAGAATCAGTGATTCTGCCCAGATTCTTCAGGACTATGGACACACCTAGCTACTTTTCAGGCAAGCGTCCTCATTAATGTCTCAAAATCAAGATTATCATCAAATAGGTAGCTTTAAACCCTTAATAATTTTCAGAAACAGTATTTTTTGTACTACTACACTCTATAAGTGACTTCCATATTATTCCCTAGGTCCTGGATGTATTTATTTATAGGTTATAAGAGATACTGGGCCAAGAGATTGGAGAAATTACTTAAGCATTATCCAAAAAGGGAAAAATGCAGAACAAAATTCAAATCCTTATGGAATCCAGACTTTCTAGATCTATTGTGGCTGAACGAACCCCTGAATTCGTGTTCCTAAGATTATCTTCAAACTTTAAAAGAAAAATATCTCCTGCCATGTCCTTAAAACCACACACTGGTCTAGCTTAACCAGTCCACGTCTGCTTTGATCACGATGCGTTTAAGATCCATCTCTATGGGATCAGACTGATAACAGTAATGCAGATGGTTACACAAGAGACTTAGGAGAAGTGTTGACATTAATTGGAGGGAAGCACTCAGAAAATGAGAAAGCTAGTGGTTGCACAACTCGAATGTGATCAGTGTCACTGAATTGAACATGTGGACATTATAGGTTGGTGTATGTTCTGCTGCAGATATTCTCAATATCAGCAATAAAAACACTTCAAAAATAGAGATTGTAATCATTTCAATGGAGCATAAAGAAGGAAACCTTTCTAATCAAAGAAGAGTGAAAAACTGTTGCTGTTCAGTGGGCAGAAGGTGCAGGGGGTTCCTGGAATGGCCTTTGTTTCATGTCCAGAGATACAGAAAGCTTGGTTACTCCTCATTCAGTACCTCTTCCCATATCTAGGCCTTCAAATGCCTTAGTTGAGGTTTCCCTAAAAACGGACTTGGGGATAACAGACACAGACCAAAACCAAACTCACTGCCATTGAGTCGATGCCAACTCACAACAAACCTATAGGCCAGGGTAGAACTGTCCCTTTGAGTTTCCGAGAGTATAATTCTGTACCAGAGTCAAAAGCCCCATCTCTCTCCTGAGGACCAGCTGGGCAGCTGGTGGTTTTGAACTGCTGACCTAGCAGATACAGACACAGACCATTTATTTGAGAAATAATCCTGAGGAAATACAAGAAAGGGAACAGAAGAAACATAAGAAAGGGAGTAGAGTAAGATAGACAGGGAGGACACCTTGGTACAGGATATTAATTACCAGGTTCCTGCTCATATTTAGAATATCAGAACTCCTAAAAAAAAGTCTGAACTCTGATTCTTTGTTAAATTCCATCTCAAGTAAGACCAATCATATTCTTCCAGTTGTTCAGGCAGAATTCTTGGCGTCATCTTTAATTCCTCTCCTTCTCTTGCGCTCTGTACTCAGTCCATTTGACTCTGAATGATTCTGCCTGACCTTCACTACTACCGTCCTGGTCCCAGTCATCACCATGTCATCCCTCACCTAGATTATTGCCATCGACACCTCAGTGCTCTCCCAGCTCCTCCACCCACCCACCCCTCCAGCCTCACCCTCCATGTTTCATTCTCAACAGCATAGTCAGTGAGGCTTTTAAAATAAAATTCAGTTCATTGCCATGCCTTTGCTCAAAGGCTCCCAGTGGCTTCTAGCCTCACACAGTTTGACTTATCATTGCTTCTCAGTTGTCTTCCATGACTGTCCCTGGAGGGCTCCCTGACTCTGCCTCTGCTGCCATGTTCTTCCCAAAGTTACCCCTTTGGGTCTTGAGGGAAAGACCAAGTAGTCGTAGATGTACCCAGTTAAAGAGTCCCTTTTAATATGCAAAACAGCACTGTTTAAAAGAGAAGGTGATTGTATGGAATCAAACAGATACTGCATGGATGGAAGTTTGGGGCCTTTTCAATAGAGAAAACTAAGACAAGGGTCAAATATGGAAAGTCAAGCATTATTTTGGTTTGAAGTCGCTTCATCTCCGTGGAATGCATAGTGGGCTGAATTTGCACCTTTTCTTCTGACACTGAATTAAATACAGGCATGAATTAAATATTGATTTTGAAAATATGGCTTATGTACAGCCCAAAGTTAATGAACCAACCTTTCCATAAAGAAAATTACAAATTTGAAGTACATTCAGTTGTTTATAATAACAAACTGGTGTTACTTTATGGTGTACATCAAAGCATTATTGTTAATGTCACATGTTAAAGATGTTTTAGGGTATGTGGAAGTATCTAGTGCTTTTTATGCACAGAAAGGTATACTATAGACGGTATACCAAATAAACAGACCAAAAACTGAGACTGGCATCAAGTCAGTTCCAACCCAGCAATGCTGTAAGTGACTCTAGGACAGAATAGAACAGCCTCTGGGTTTCCTAGACTGTGATTCTTTACAACAGCCTCATCATTCTCCTGCAGAACAGCTGGTGGTTTCAAACTACTGACTTTGAGGTTAGCAGCGCAACTCATGACCCACAGTGCCACCAGGACTCCTGCTGTACAGCATGCTAGACAAATAACTAACTGACATGAGATATGAGTCATGCTGAACTGTTTCCATTGAAGTGAAAATCTGATTTAGAGACTAGAACAGAACTCATTCATAATCTTGAAGCTGCCTATACCTATTAATATTGTGACTTCTGAAAACAAGTAGCACAGTATTCATTATGTGTTGACTGCAAATCAGTCAGTCACTAGCTCATCTAATCACTGCAACCTGCCTTCAAAGCGCATAATTCTTCCTTCCATCCACACTAGGGGCCAGGTGCACAGAGAGGCTAAGTCTGTCCCCCAGGGGACAGACAACAGAAAAGTGGGTGAAGGGAGACGTCGGACAGGGCAAGATATGACAAAATAATAATTTATAAATGATCAAGGGCTCATGAGGGAGGGGGGAGCGGGAAGGGAGGGGAAAAATGAGGACCT